ACTCTCGCAACCCCCGTCTCCAGCCATGCAGAGCGCCATTCACTGGCATTTTGAAGCCGCCAAGCCACAGGAGCCGGGCAGTGGCGAACAGGCGCTCATGCGGCTTGGCAATACCCCTAGGTCAGTGAATGTTACTGTGCCCAGCTGGAAAGGGGGTTTGCCGGGTGGCTGCTCGTGAGCATGGTCACTTCATGACTGCTGCGCTGCACTGCTGCGATAGTGCAACACAGCCATTTGCCCCTGAGGCTGTGCCCGGCTCTTTAGGAGCTTGCTTGCAAGAGAGCAGGCGCCTGGCAACCCCCCTCCAGCTGTGCACAGCGCCGCTCACCAACCTAGCAATGCGATCACCTTTGCCCGCCCCCCCGGTTCCTGCAGCTTGGCATCTTCGGGATACTGCTTGGTTGGTGAGCAGCGCTTTGCCTGGGGAGTTGTCCAGGGAGCTTATTTGTGGGATAGGGCTTTTATTTTTGCCCACCAGAAAAATGTGGCATGGCCTTATTATCAGGACATGTCATATTTTTGGGAAAACACGGTAGCTTGCTTTTTGGGATGAAGTATCCTATAGTAATCAGATCATTGATTTTTTCAGCCTGATATTTTTTCAGTGTTGAATGGCAATATTTCTTAATTCTAGAGAGTGATTAGGTACCAAGTCGCTTTTGACTCCTTGTCTATGTGGGTAGATCTTCTCCATGTTGATCTGTCTTTAACCAGGTCTTACAGAGAGAAGATTTTTTAAATCATCTGGAAATAATAGATTTCATCCTGTGACCTCTTGTATGTAGATCTTGGGCTGTACTGTTGAACTAAGGCAGTCTTCACTTATGAGAAGTGAACCTTTTGTTACAATTTAGAAATATTATAAAAAGTATCGCTATAAACTAGCGAGATCTTTGGCAGCTGGCACTGTACCAAGCTATTCTAGGTAGACACTTAGTTTTGGATTTCAATTTCTCCCATGAGCTCTGACTGACATGGTCAGTAGCAAAAACTCTTGAGAGTTCTAATTCTAAACATCTGAGATATATTAAACTGCTGGCTAAACTTTCCAATTCTTAATTTCTATCTGATGCTTCTGGTAAATAACGGGGATTTAAGTCAATGTGTGGTCAGTAGTCTGTGACCAATTGGTCAATCTCACTCATTCTAATTCTGTCATCCATCTAAATTAGGTGAGGGGCGCAGAAGGTGAATTAGTGTCTGAATATGGTAGCGTAAACTGTGTGATAAATTTTCATGTAATGTTAATTAGTTATAGTTTCATTATACATTTATATACATTTTTAAAATTTAAACTTATATTGTATTTTTCTGCTTCTATCACTCAACATTATAAAATGTATTAAAATAATAATAGCAGATAAAGTTGCACCAGCAAAAATGTAAAAATAAAATAAAACAAGCTAGCAACTGAATACGGCAAGTAGAAAACTCTTAAATATATACAAATGATAAAATTAGAAACAAGATTTAAATAAAATTGTATGGAGTGATAAAACTTTATTAATTTAACTTTCTAGAAACAACGGAAATTTAAATATCCTATAATCGAAAAAAATATGCCGGAAGATCGCTCCAAAATGACTATGAGAGATTTTATTTATTATTTGCCTGAAAACAATCCTATGAAGTAAGTGCATATATTCTTTTGTCATGTTGGTACAAATTGTTTTTATTAATTCATTGGATTTATACGGTCTGTATCCTCGAAAGATCTTAGAGTGCCCTATATGGTTTCTCACTCATTCTTTTATCTTTATAACAGTTTTGTTAACTTGGGCTCACAGGCATATAGCATTAAACATCTGAGACATTAAGTCTTGGGGTCTTTCACTTATAAAATATTGGCTTCAAGATGCTTTTCTACAGTATAAATTACTAATTCATTTATTTTATATATACCGTATTTTCACCCATATAACCCGCGGGTTATATG